CAACACCGGTAGCATAATCAGGACTGAATTTCTTATGAAAGACTGTCGGCGACAAACGCTTCGACTGCTAAGCCGAATTTTACCTATCGTGTTTAACAACTGGGTACAATTACCAGGTATCAAGAAACAATTAAACTGAAAATAGATTATGGACGCAGAACCAAAAGTTCTCTTTAAGAGTTTCGAACCACAAAGACAGCAAACCACTGCATGGGGGAAAGATTATTTCTGTTGCACAGATTCTTCTTAATTCAGTTTAATCATTTAAAAAATTCATTCACTGAAGGTAAATGAAATGCAGTTTCTAACAAAACAGAACGGTTAAAAAGTTGGTGGTTATTCATGTGTTGGTGGTCATGCTGAACAACAGCGTAAAACATGGTTTAATAATACACAACGCAAAAGAGAGTGCGGTCTGTTCACTGCCTGGTATTGGTGAGGCACCGGACTGACCACACTGTCTCTACCGTTGTGTATTGTTAAATCGTGTTTTATGCTGTTTTTCAGCATAACAGAATGGTGAAATAATCCTAGTCTTTTAGAAATAATTCGGCAATCACAGCCTAAATAAAATTTTAAATATTTACACATGTGGAAACAATTTATTTTCTCCTTTCCTTCTTCAGTATAAAGCACTGTCTGTGAATCAATTTCTTCCACATTCTTTTTTATTGTTGCTGATTTTTTCTTGGTCATCCGTTTCTTAGCTTCCTGGTGTCTTCTGCCCTCCAGCAGCACTACCTACTCCACACCTTGCACTCCTTGCGTGTCGTGAAAGGAAGAACACTGAAATAGACTTCAACACCGTAGTTAACGACGCTAATACATTGCGTCTCAGCGATACTGCAAAGACAAAGAAACATGCTTGACTAAACGAACTTCACCAGAAGAATTCATGTGAATCGTTGGCTCCAAAGTCAACTGTATCTTACAACAAATGCCGTGACATTCGACACAATATTTGACTCCTCACGCGCAGTCCATTGTGAGCCAAAACAACAACTCCAACACAATCTTAAAAAAAGTGAAGAGCTGACCAGGAAAGCGCGGTCCTCAAAAACAAACATCTTCCGGATATGATAGATCAACTCCCTGGAATGAATCTAAATCTCCATCAATGGTCTGTATTAAACCGGATTCAGATTGGACAGTATCACTGCCACTGAAAAATACGCTGAAAAAAAGAAGCCAAACCGGTAAAGCGGCTGCAACCATTAAGACCAGATCCACAATGTACTACCTCTGCATGTCTTATCCGCAAGTTCGCTAAATGGACAACAGATATCCAGGATACCAATATTTGCAACGTTATAAGCATTCCAGCCATATGCCAGAATACTGTGAAGATAATCTTTGACAGGCAATAGATAAAATTCTCAGATACCAGAATCCAGCTGTCCAGCTCCGCTGAAGTTGTTTAATACGCTAGAGCAAGAAGATAGAAACTACAGATATCGACCACGCTGACCACATAAGTGATGTATGAGATTTCTGCTAATTTATTGCTCAGAGAATATTTCCATGGAAAGGAAACATTCTGATTTCGACGCTGCAAACACCGATACAAGCAAAGAGGAGACTTCGGACAGCATTGAACTGTTCATCATCAGGGTTGCAATAATTGGAGGAGCAGATATGAAAGCGTATGCATTTGTTTTACTTTCCTGACGTCTGAGAATTTGAATTTGATTTTTTAACTTCCCGGAAAACGTTAAATCTATAACTCCTAATCCAAACTCACATCAGCATCTACCACTGACCAAGGCAATGCATGATATGATGGTAAGCCAATTATTATGCGAGACTTCGTTTGTTGCTTGCCAGCAAATGCGACTTAGTCTCGTTGTTGTAGGTTCGTTCGTTCATGATATACTCTAATCCTGATTTTTCGGTCTGCCACTCAGTCATTTCTATCCATACACAATGTATCGCCATGCTAATGAGCGTTGCATCTCTTCGTGGTACGTGATAGAAAACAAAAGTTCTAGTACCTTTGTTTCATCAAAACCTGACTATGAGTCATTCTTGGCTGTCCCCCCCCGGGTCGTCGATCGGTAAGTTGCAGCTCTTTCGCCTTCTTTTTTGAAAGTACGCGCAAGACGTGTCCGAACCATCGTAGCTGCGACTTTTCAATCCGAAGAAGCAGCAGCTGTACACCAAAGCACTCGCGTATTTTTGTACTCCGGGTCACATCGAGACACGCGAGTCCAACGATTTGTTTCAGATAGTCCATTTTAGCCGCTTGACCCTGGATCGAGGCTCTTCAGTCGCGACCCACGACTAATAATCGTAGGTGAGCACGTGGATGACAATCGATATGACTAATACTCTTCATTTATAGTTTAAATACTTTAATATAGAAAGGAATGCGTAACTACTATTGATAACAGAGCAATATTCGCAATGATCTTGCAATTAACGAAGTGCTAAGTCACGTGGAGCAGCCATCCTCGGGTTGGATCATCATTCTCATGAGCCTTGATTAGTCTCGGAATCATGGCTTTTGTATGTAATTGGTCTAACGGATAAGAGTTTCACTGAGGATGCAAGCGCAAATAAATTAGACTTGAAGCGCAAACCACAAAACGCAAACAAAATTCCAGGAGTTGAGAGGTGAAAAGCTAGAAGCTAGTAATTTTTATGGCGTAGACACGCATATTTTTGTATGTTTATTTCGCTCTGTTATCATTCTGCTATCACGTTATCCAAAA